CACCCTGCAAAGGGCTGGGGTGTACCCTGGGCTGGGTGCCAGCCCCATGGGGCGGGATCCCCTTGGCTCAGCCTGTGTCCCCACTTGCTCCCCAGTGCCTGGGTGCCCAGGGCCATGTCCGTGCCTGCCCACAGTGTGGGGGCACGGCACCCACTGGAAACTGCCCCCTTGCTGCTGCTGTCCTTTGCTGCCTGGCACTTTGGGGGTGGGTGGGATGGGTGTGCTGGAAGCTGGCAATTGGCAGGGTCAGTAGCAGAAATCCTGGGAAGGATGTCACCTCCCTGAGGTTTGCTTCTCTCCACATTTGCACTGTCTGACTTTCCAATCCAGCAAAAGGCCAGCCAGGCAGGAGCTCCAGCCCCCGATGGGGCCCCCAAATTCTGATGCCCCAGAGCCCTGCCCGCTGGTGCTCAGAGCCCCTCCTGCTCCATTTTTGGTTGACCCAGAAGACAAAACAAGGCAGAAATCGGAAGCCACAGAAATCAGAAGAGTGTGGCGTGCCCATCAAACTGCAACCCGGGGAGAGCTGGGCTGGGCTGGGTGAGTGGCTGCTGGGGCCGGGCATGCAGGACAGCACCAGCATGGGGCAGGAATGTCCTCTCTGCTGAGCGGTTGTCACCGCACACCTGAGCCCTGCTGTACCCTGGGCATGGGGAGCAGGTTCTGGAGGGCAGCCAGCAGCTTGGGGGGTGGCAAGGGTGGGGTTGGGCGACTTTGGGGCTGCAGTGAAGGAAACTGGGGGAAACCTGTGACAAAATCAGTTCTTTACATCAGGCGCTGATGGCACCGAGCTGAGGGGCACAGAGGAAGGCATGGAGGAAGGCACGGATGGAGCAGTCGTGTCGCACCCCCTGGTCCTGTCACCCAACCCTGACATCTACCACTGATCCCTGATGAGTGCTTCCCCTTAGGGTGTCTGGGCATTGTGTGTGCCCAGGGTGCAGGATGCATGCACTGCAGGGTGCCCATGGAGCAGGGTGCCCATGGTGCAGGGTGCCCACGGTGCAGGGTGCTTTCCATGCAGGGTGCTTTCTGTGCAGGGTGCCCACAGTGCAGGGTGTGTTGCGTGGTGCAGGGTGCCCACAGTGCGTTGTGTGCGTGGCACGGGGTCCAGCACTGCAGAGTGCTGGTAGTGCGGGTGCCTGTGGTGCACGGTGCATGCGTGGTGCAGGGTACACAGGGGCTTAGCAGCGCCAAAGGCATGTGGAGCAGGCTGCCAGTGCCACAGAGTGCCCATGGGACTGGCTTTGCTCTGGGCTTGCTGCAAGGCTCCGGACGCCACCACCTCGCTGGCTTCCTGCCGCTGCAGCAGGGCAGGCGTGCCGGCAGGGGAGCAAGAAACCACAGCATCCCTCTCTGACTTGGCCTGGCACTGAGCAGGCTGAGATTGCTCTTGAGAGTATCCGGTGTCCTGCCAGTCCTCGCCAGCATGGTGACACCCACAGCTTGAGAGTGGGGGTGGGTGCGGGAAATGGGTGCTGCTGGGCTGTGTCAGGAAGTGGTGGGGCAGAGGCTGTGCTCCCCGTCCCTGCCACCACGGGGTGCGGGGCCCCCCTGGGCTGCCCCAAGTTCAGCTCCTCCCCCCATACAGAAATGTCACCATGGGGCCTCTGCCACCAGGGCTTCACCACTCAGCAGAAGGTGCTGGAGGGCGCACAGAGCAATCGCAGGGTTGGGGAGCCCTGAGCCCCCCACCAGACCTGTGCCCTGCTCAGCCCCTGTGCCACAGGTAGAGCCTCTGCAACACTGTCATTTATTTCCAAAGCAGCCTCTTGTCCTGCCAGCACCCTGGTGAGGTAGGTCAGTGTACGGTCTGGGGGGGGGTAATCCCATTTTACAAGAAATTAAGTCACGCAGAGTTGCTCAAGGTCTCTGTGTGGCAACAGCTGGGACAGTAGGAGAGGTTGGGGCTCCCACGTCCCTCCCTGCCCCACATCCTGGTCTGTAGCAGGGTGCCCCACGGTCCCCCCACCCCAGTATCCTCTGCCCAGATGCATCCCTGATGCACACACCAGCCCCACACTAGGTGTTGAACCAGCTCTCCAGGTTGGGATAGACACGGCCACGGGGCAGGCTGGGGTAGGCAGTGCAGATGGTGCAGATGCGCTCCCTCCAGTCAGTGTAGAGCTTCACACTGTACCTCTTCTGCCAGGTGAAGAACTGCTGGTAGTTTCATGGTCTTCAGGAAGGTGGCCAGCTCCGCCAGGGAACCAAAGTCATCGATGTGAATGAAGGAGTCTGCAGGAACAAACTGCTCATAGTTGGCCCGGGGAGGCCCCAGCACCACAGGCACAGTGCCAGCCATCAGCGAGTTCTTCCAGAGCTTCTCAGTGATGTAGTCCCGGTGGATGGAGTTCTCAAAGGCCAGGTAGAACTTGGACTTGGATGTCGTTGGCAAGAGGCAGTTCTTGCAAAGTGGCTTTTTGTTTGCTTTCCCATATATGTTCACGTGGAGGTACCTGGAGAGGTTTTTGTAGATTTCAGCTCTTTTCTGAGTCCTGTGGTAGTTGCTGATAACCCAGGACACCAAGTTGGTCTTCATGGGGATGTTCACGGTGGCCGACGGGTTGGGCACAAGCTTGCCGTAGGGGATGAAGATGTCCGAGTCCCGTCTGTAGGTCATCACCCAGTTGAAGGTCTGGTTCCATCCCGCTAGAGCTTTAGTGTTGGAGGGGGACTCCAGGGAAACCCACACCCAGTTCTGCCCCGGTGGCCTCTCCTTGGGCAGCCTGTCCCTGCCAGGCTGGAGCCTGGCGTGGGGGAACACCACCACATCCGCCCGGCCCAGGAGTTGACGCTCCATGGTGAGCCAACAGCCCGCAATGCCATACAGCTCATGGCAAACATCCCCGCTGATGTTGGGGACCTGCTTCGAGGGCCATTCCCACACCAGGACCACCAGGGGCTCAGTGTGCTTGGGGGCTTCTCTGGAGATCTCAGAGGGATTGAGGAAGCACCTCAGGTTCCAGAGGGTGGTTACAAACACACTGGCGGTGACCACCACCTTCACGCCAGGCCGGCCCCATGGTAGCCATGGCAGCAGCGATGCCCGGGGCATGCTGCCGGGCTGGCTGTCACCTTCTCGGGTAACAGAGCTGACACCTGGGAGAGAGGAGAGGCCACTGAGGGTTGTCAGATTGGCTTGCCAAGGGGTGTTAGGGAGGCACTGGGGCCGGAGGGTCTGGAGAAAGGGCTTCTTCATGAAACCTGAGCCCTAGCATCATCTCTGGTCCTTCCGCTGGCCCCTGGCTCCCCCATGCACCTGGTGTCACCCTGGAGCGGCTTTTGTGTCACCCTCCCATGGTCCCTGGTGTCCCCATCTCTGGGACGAGCAGGGATGATGCCAAAGCGGGGCACAGAGATGATGGGCAGCAGCCACCTGTCCCCCCTGCCCCAACTTCCTGGCACCACTCCCCATTACATGCACAAAGGATGCGGTCCTTGGTACTTGCTCCGTGCCTCAGTTTCCCCACCTGACAAACAGCCACAGTCCCACTTCACCCTTCTTGCTTTGCCCTGGGCAGGTTGAGCCTGAAATACAGCCAGCCTTGCTACAGCTAGGCTCAGCAGAAAGGTGCCTGGGGGTTTGCAGGATGGAGCCCTGCACCAAAGGGTGAGGGGGGATACCCTGGGTCCTGCCTGAATAACCCCACAGTGAGGCCCCAGCTGTGAACTGGGGTGTCCCTGGGAGTGACTGGGAAGTCCAAAACCCTGCTCAGGGGCAGACCAGTGTGTCCTGCCCGAGAAGTGCCCCCTCACCCCAGCACCCTCCTGCAGCGATGGCAGGGCTTTCCCCAGGTTTGGGGTCCTCTCCTGGGCTTGGGGTGCTCTCCTCAGCCACCTAGGGCACAGGGAGCCTCAGCACTCTGGGAGCTCACAGCCTTGGTGTCCCAAACACTCGTATTTTATTTTTGGGTGGTCACAGATAGCCAGTGACCTGCAGGCAGGGCAGGGAGGGCAGCGCAGGCAGGGGACTATTTGGGGCTGCCGCTGGTGGGCCTCAGACCACACGTGCATGGAAACCCTGGCCGCAAGATACTTGCCCCGCCACGGTGCCCATCTGCCTGCCTCAGGCCTCCGCTGGCCATGCTGCGCCTTAACTGGCAGCACTGATGGGAAGGGAGAGCAGCAGCAGGGGCGGCGAGGGGTACGCTCAGCCAGGGTGAGGACCAGCTGCCAGCTTAAGCCCACCCAGGAGTGCCAGGGGCAGGGCTCAGCACCCATGGGCTGCCCACAGCGTTCAGCACCAAAGGCGGTTTTCCTTCTGAGGTAATCTCTGAAAACACGTTGGCTGCCTGAGCCCTGCTGCCAGCCAGGACTGTGCTGGTTCCTCCATGATTTTGGAGCCTCCTGGAAAGCAGTGCCCTGCTTTCCCACCCCAGCTGCTGCAAAAAATCCCTTCCCTGCCTTGGCCCACTCCATCTGTCCTGCTAAAATACACAAACTAAGTTTAGGCTCCAGA